TTTCTTGACTTCCAAGTCGAATAGTACATCAAAATAAGCAAGAAGAACAAGAAGAAGAAGACAAAGACCAGCTTAAGGTTGGGTGGGGCGGCTTGTAGAGTATCCACGTATAATTCCTTTCGAATTACAATTGTTTTTTTTTTTCTCGAGGTATACATATATTCTTAATCGTCTCTTGTCTTTCTCTAGAAATATAGGAAAAGAGGCAAAGTTTTCTTTCTTTCTTTCTTGTGTATAGTTGAGTCGTCAGAAGATGAAAGTAAGTACTAGATACCAAACTTTTGTTAAGGTTGTAATAATGATGGCGATGGAGGTAGCACAATGTTGTTGGTGACATGGTACATATAATCTTCAACGTTTGTGTTGTTGGTAGAAGAATCTTGGATGGAGATTTGTGAAGACTTCGTGGGGGAGAGAATAATTAGGTTGGTTATTGTTAGGTTCATATAAAGATGTATCATGTGGAAAATCATATGTACAAAACGTGACAATTTACTATATTGATGTTGTATACTATTGCGTTTCGATATTCTTTAGTTTTGTGTTTGGATTGTATGGTTTTAGCGATTCGAATGAATCTTAAATTATAACACAAGAAGGCTAACAAAAGTTTGCTTCCGATGTGCTAACATTGACGAAGATAAGATCGTCATGGATAAGCTTATATTGATGCAAGCAGATAACCAACCCATAACAACATAACTAATATAATCAGTATATATAATTCGGGTATAGACTATAGTTCGAAAGAGCATAACAAAAACCTCAAGAGAATAAAAAAAATATCTTATTACCATCACATAGCCAACAAAGCACTTTCAAAGTATCATAGCTATAGCTATTGTACCTCAAAGGTGAAAAACACGGACTTTGTCTAGTAGTATTATCATGGCTGATTTACAATTTTGGGGTCCTAGTAATATTCAGGAAGTGTTAATTCCTTTTTACTGAGGTTAACATTGAATCAAATGACCATTTGATGAGGTGAAATGAGGGTGAAAAGATGTGGCCACTTGAGGGACAACACGCAAGTCATCCATAATTAGTCATTGCAATTTTTGTCACCTTGCTTTAATTGCAAATAATTAGTGCATCCCCTTCTCACTCATTCTCTCTCTCCATGTAATGTTCATTATGTTAATTAATGGTCTTTAATTACTTTCATCAGTTAGTTAGGCTAGCTAAAATGTCTACAAATGATGATCATGATTACGATTATTAGTTATAACCATCTCTTCATTCATAGCTACACCCTTTCATTCTTTTGACTTTTTACTTGCTATAACTATCTAAACGTACAATAGTTTAAACTCAAATTGAGTGAGAGCAGAGATAGGAATGGAGGCAGGATTCCGAATGAGCACGGTCTAAAAAAAAAAAAACTACATCAACTTTCGAGAATTAAACCTAGATGCTGGAATATGGCAGAGCAAGGAATCTGAAATAGGAGAGATCGAGAGAGCTAATAAAACTGAACACATGATATTAGAACCATGACAATGAGCAAGAGAGGACTAAAATAGTACCGACTATTCTATTTTTCAAATTTGTCACAACATTTACATATACTTTTTTATCTAAATTTATAAGGCCAATGTGGCTCTATCACTGATCCTAGAGGAGGTGGCTAGATGTGGCCATTCTTTCACTACTTTCCAGTGTTCGCTTAACATGTGAACACACGTTACAACCTTAGTCCACGTATTAAAAGAGCGGACCGAACTCCTCCTGAACTACATGTTACTTCAACATTCAAGAGAAGGTATCAAATAGTTGGGTGATCAAAAGAAGTTGGGAGAGAAAGGAGAGGATCAGAGGAGAGGAGGGTAAGAGTGGGAAGTAAAAGTGAAGCAAACAAAAAGCTTCTTTCAAGCGGCAGCCCCCTTCTATCCCTCCTTTAGTCATCAGGGTGGAAAAAAGATGTGAAGAAGTGTGACATAAGAGAGAAATTTGAGGAAAAGGTTGTGTTCTTTTTTTACAATTATTGTTGATTTCCAATCACTTTATATTGTACTTATTTATATTTTAATTGGAGCATATGAGACAACGAGAAGAGAAAGAAGGTAGCCTAGTTATTATGCTAACTTGAAGATTTGTTAGTATATACTAACTAATATCCAAAATGTATGAACTAATATTTAAATCTGCTAAGTATCTAGATAACACATACTAGTATTCAAAACATCACAAACTAGTATCCAGATAGCAGATACCAACTAATATCCACAATCAACCAATTATAGTATTCAATATGGATACTCTTATGGGTTATCTGGATACTCTTATGTGTTATCAGTATACTAATTATGTGTTGTTTAGATACTATTCTGTGTTGTCTAGATATTAGTTTGTGAATTTGGGATAATAGTTGATTCATGGTGGATATCAGTTAGCAAACTTTGAATACTAGTCTGTGCTCTCTAGATACTTTAGTACTTGGATATTAGTTCATGTATTTTGAATATCATAAGTTAGTATCTGCTAACGAATCTTCAAGTTAGCAGTTTAACTTTCCCCGAAAGAAGGACCATTTCCCACTAAATAATGGATATATATGGGGTCAACTACATAAATTAGAGATCGGGTAACTGATCAACCAGTTATTGAAATTTTCTTTCTGACGAATATGTTATTAACTATTTGGAATGACAAACATAACATTAATCATGTCTGTGTGGTTGATGTTTTGTCGCACGAAGATTTTCTTTTGTTATCCTTTGAGTCCTCAGAAACATGGATTTTTTTTTTGTCTAAGCAGTCTTCACAAGCAACTCTTTTTCGCGCTTGTGATACTTATACACTGGAATCGTTATATCCATGACAACACATAGCTCGTCATATTATAAGAAATAAACATAGATACTAAATTTCATGAGTTCCACGATGCATCCGATTCTTTTGCAGGTTGACTCCTTGCTCTTAATCTGAATCTTCAGTAGGGTTTCGGCCAGTTTTACCTACTATTGGATTTGACAACATTCTAATTCCTATCTTCTTCTGTAGATGGTCATCCACTTGAACACTCGAACTCACACTACAACGAATGTGATCATCTCCATGTCACAACCACCAAACCAGTCATCCGAAATATTGGAATCCTAGTATTGGTTGAAGTCTATTTGCAAGTAGTCTACATCTTTCATTGTTCTCCATAAATGCCACTTCTAACATCCTCCAACACACACCCTTCATTACCCATTGACATTGGTGTAAGGTGTTATTAAGCTACCCATGTGCTTTGAATTCCATACTAAACCACAAGTTTTCCCCCACCACTTTCAAAACATGGCTGATAATTACACAACATGACGACAAGGAAACATCTTTTTGCATCAAATGGAAAGGAAAGGAGAGGAGAGGAGGAGGCTCTTACATTTTTCTTCAACTCTCAATTTGCCCACCAAAAAAACAGTTATTTTCATTTGAGGTTACTACATGATCCAATATTGAAAGGCAATCTTGTTAAGGGACAGCCATTTTTTTTTATGTTAGACATCAGCATGATTCAATGAGGAGACTCTTCTGCAGGATAAGAAGGAAGGACAATTTGATGGGACAAAGTCCAACAAACGAGTGCCTAGTGTAAAAATTTCCCCCCTCTCCATCAGCAGTTTTGCACCATACAAAGTAATTATGGCAGAGCCTTCAACTAGTGAGCTAAAGTAGAAAACCAGAGTGGAAATAATGGTTAAGAACATGGATCAAAGAGGTGATTGAAGAGGGAATAAAGCTAAGGGACAAGAACACTTTATGGGTTTTGCAAATTAAGCAGAGCACTTGATGGGTTTTTGGGGGGAAATGCATATGACAAGAAAGGAACCAGCACCATACATTAACCCTTTCTTCCCCCTCTCCTCCATTATTCTCTTGCTTTTCTTCTGCAAAATTAAGTGAAACAATCATCTCAAAAGATTTAAGTCAAATTGGCTAATCAATACCCCATTAATCCAAGGTTCTAGTGGCACTAGTATACATTTGGTACGATTAGTACAATTGAGCTAAATGAGACTTCCAAATACGTAAAGCAATAACGTCAACATCTACAAAAGTTTAAGACACCATAAGACATATCTCAAATTGTAAATCTTAACTAAATTATACACGAAATTTCGCAATCTTCTGCAAAGCCCTTTTGCTGGTTTCTTAGGGTTTAAAATATGTGCACAAAATCCAGTAAAGGCCAGTCTATAAAGTTGCACTTCATTATGCTTCATTCATATTTTTCGGTGTCAAACATGTTTACTATCGAATGCCATACTATAAGGTTGTACTTCATTATATTTCGATCATATTTTCTAGTGTCGAAAGTATTCACTATTACTATCTGTTGAGGATATTAATTATTTAGTAAAAAATAATTAATTCCTTGTCCTACAAGTCCCTAGTTTTCCTTGTTCAAGTAAAAGAAGAAAACTTGGTTGTCATTAGGGTTTTAACTCTACGTCTATCTCTACATAAGCTTTGCTACGAGATTGTCGTAAGCAAGCCGTCAAGATGTAATCCTAATAAGAGATCAGCCGTGAGCTCTTATGAGCTCACCCACCGTGGATTAGTCTCGATCAATCGATCGAGGATACCACGTAAAATCGTTTGTCTCGTGTTCTTGTTATTCCGCATCATCAAATTCTACACTATCGAACAATCAGAGAGAAGAACGAGAATACCAATTACCACGTTGCACTTTGATATAGGGTTCAAGAACGGACGTAGTTGCTTTGATGATGCACAGCCTAATTCCTGATGTGCTGATCCTGTTCAAGGAATAAGAACCGCTTCCGCCATTTGTTGATTGATTGAATTGAACTCTTTTCTGGGTTTGCTCAAGAGGAGGCAGAGTAAGTAGACTGTAAAACATTGACTTTGCTTAATAACCCGAAATTGAATGGACCAATGCATATAATCAGATCCACCATTGGCGGAATGGGTCAGAATTAGCGTGGACTTCTGAGTTGCAGGAAGACGTGGAAAAGAGGAGAGATCAGTGTCTAATGTGAAACATATTGACAAGCTCAGTGACCAAATTGGTATTTGACCTTCAATCCTCTGCCTTTTCCAATCGTCGCGTCTCCAAGTGGATAAAGATAAACCTACCTTGCGATAAACCTCTGAAAAACCTTCCGACCACCGGCGGTAGTAGTAATGTCCACTGTCACGGCAACGGCTGCCTTGTTCGCTGCAAAACCATTCTCCATTTCTGCGTCGTTTCCTTCCCTCTGCAAGTTTACGATTTCCCATACGTTTCTCTCCTCCGCTAAAGCTTCGTTCTTTCCCCTGCAACCCCCTCGCTCTTCATCTCCACTTCCCGGGTTAATTACGTGCAAATCCTCCATAGACGATGACCAAGAAGAAATAGCTGAACCAGACACTGAGTTGGATCAGGAATTTGATGAGTCCGACGGAGAGGATTACGAGTTTGACGTCGATGAGCTCGAACAGGAAGCTAAAGTTGCAGTCAGGGAGTACTCATCGTCCTTGTCCCGTGAATTGATAATCGGTGGGTTCTTTAATGGGTTTCTGATTCAGGTTTTGGGAAATATTATGAATTCTGCTCATTTTTATGTCGTTGATTTTTGTTTGCAGACGATGAGGCTGATACCAGAAAGGAATCTAGGAAGCAGAGGAGGAAGAAGCTCACAGTTAAAGAGGTTCAGTTCTTCATTTTGGCCTTTTCTCACTTCCTGCTTGCTGGGTTTTGATACCGAAAAGTTTGGGTCTTTGGGCGTCGTAGAGGTTGTAGACAGGCATAGATTGTGGAATCGTGTTGTTTGGATGAGTAATTTTGAGTCTGAATTGTTGATAACATTGTTTAATTCATCAATCCATTAATCTGCAGATTCCAGATCATCTTCTCTCAAAGGTAGCCATTGTTGGAAGACCTAATGTTGGGAAATCAGCATTGTTTAACCGCCTTGTTGGGGTAAGTAGAAAAAAGGTTCAAAATTTGCTGCTAGCATGTTAATCCTAGTTTTCATTTCCTGAATGAAAAGATTTTGCTTCTTGAATGATTGAAGGAGAACAAGGCTATTGTGGTGGATGAACCAGGAGTTACTCGTGATCGTCTCTATGGAAGATCCTTTTGGGGTGATCATGAGTTCATGGTGGTGGATACCGGAGGGGTAATCACTGTGTCGAAATCAAAAAATGAAGTTATGGAGGAACTTGCTATCACAACGACCATTGGCATGGAAGGGATTCCGCTTGCCTCTAGGGAAGCTGCGGTTGCCAGGATGCCCTCAATGATCGAGAGACAAGCTACTGCTGCTGTGGAGGAATCCTCTACCATTATATTCCTTGTTGATGGACAGGTAAATAAACACCTCACCCCTTCTCTTTTGAGAATGAGATTGCCACCTTTTTGGGAGTGTGATATCTAAGCCTACTGAACAGGCAGGCCTAACAGCAGCTGATGTGGAGATAGCGGATTGGCTAAGAAAGCATTACTCCCACAAGTTTGTGATTCTTGCCGTCAATAAGTGTGAATCTCCGAAGAAAGGGATCATGCAAGTTTCAGACTTTTGGACATTGGGGTAAAAGATTGGTTTGCACCATCCTTCCTATGTCATTGATGAAACTTGGTTATGCGTGTAGATGCGAGCTTTCTTTGAGATGGATAAACTGATGCTGCTTGATATCCGTTCTTTTGCTGACCAACCTAGGTTCTCACCGCTCCCTATATCAGCTTTATCTGGAACTGGAACTGGGGAGCTCCTTGACCTTGTGTGTTCAGGACTAGCTAAAGCAGAGGTTAAACATTCTAGAGTTTCCATAAAATCCTTCTCCAAGTGCTAAGTACTAATGGACTACCATTCAAGCATTGCACCAAAACTCATTTCCTGTCTTCGTTTACTATATATGATGAAACCATTTTTAGGTTTCCGAAGATCTCCATGAAGAACTGGAAGAAGATTACATTCCAGCAATTTCAATTGTTGGCCGGCCAAATGTTGGGAAAAGCAGCATTCTAAATGCATTGGTTGGTGAGGATAGAACTATAGTTAGCCCCATCAGTGGAACTACACGTGATGCCATTGATACTGAATTTACAGGACCAGATGGCCAGGTTTGTTTATCATAACATGCTTTGTTAGGGAAGCAGAAGATAGGAACAATGATAACTTCCATTCTACCTTGTGCTCTTCTTTGTGTTTCAGTACAAGACATGGGGGATTTGACCTCCCTAAGTTGACTGTTTTTGCAGAAGTTCCGACTCATCGATACAGCTGGAATCAGGAAAAGGGCCGCCGTGGCTTCTTCAGGTAGCACCACAGAGGCATTATCAGTGAACCGAGCATTTCGAGCCATTCGGCGTTCTGATGTTGTTGCTCTTGTCATTGAGGCCATGGCATGCATCACAGAGCAGGTAACTTGTTCTTTGCTTCACATCATTTGTTACACATCTCTTTTCCATGTTCATATCCCAATTCTGGCTCCATTCTGTGACGGATTCAGGATTTTAAAATAGCTGAAAGAATTGAGAAGGAAGGTAAAGGCTGCCTGATAGTTGTCAATAAATGGGACACCATACCAAACAAAAACCAGCAGTCTGCAGTGTACTACGAACAAGACGTGCGAGAGAAGCTCCGTATACTTCAATGGGCTCCCATAGTTTACGCCACTGCAATTTCTGGCCACAGCGTTGACAGGTAACATCCACTGCCATAATCAGGCATTGTGAAAATCCAGGTACTGATTTGATTGTTTCAAATCTCAGGGTGATTGTTGCGGCTAGTGAAGTCGAAAAGGAGAGGTCGAGGAGGCTAAGTACAGCCACATTGAATCAAGTGGTACAGGAAGCACTGGCCTTTAAGTCGCCTCCAAGGACTCGAGGTGGTAAGAGAGGTCGTATCTATTACTGCACTCAGGTACTCTTCCTTAAACTCTTACCACAAAGATGTTTATGTCAAAATGGTGTACTAGAGCATTCATCCTGATCTCTTTACAAATATCGAGTTTTCAGGCTGCAATCAGGCCGCCCACATTCGTGTTCTTCGTAAACGAAGCAAACCTCTTCCCTGAGACTTATCGAAGGTACATGGAGAAGCAACTCCGCAAGGATGCAGGATTTCCAGGCACTCCAATACGGTTACTATGGCGCAACAGAAGGAAAATGGGGAAAATGGATGGTGCTGGTGGTGAGCATCTCAATTACTCCCCTATCTTTTTCAAACCTTTTTCCAATTCCTGCTATCCACATTTACTAAGTTGGGCTTTCACCATGCAGGCAAAGGACCCGGAGGAAGAGCACAACTGAGCCTGAAATCTCGTGGCAGAAAGTTGTCACTGACTTCATGAAAAAAGAGGTACAGACCCTTTCAGACCATTAAAACCAAACGCCCATTTAGCCAAAGCTAGCTTCTTTTTGGTGCACTGCCGACAGTAGAGCATGGAGATTTCCACAGTGAATTTGCAGTTTGTGGGTCAGTCTGCAGCAGAAATTTTGGCTGCCTTAGTAGTGCCGGTGGGAGACCTGCTGTAAATTGTAATATGTTGTACAAGGCACAGATAAGTTGGGAAGCTGCTAGATAATGATAATGATAATGAATGATTATAATTATAAATTGTTGTTCATGCCTAATGATTGTTTTTCATTAACGACTGATTAATGGTGGTTGCATATTCATTAATTGGTTGGTATGAATTATGAGCTCGTAATCTTATGGAGGTTTCAGAGATTATGTTGTCCTTGGGTGAAAATGTGGGCGTAAGAGGGTGTTCTGATCTTTATTTTTCTATCAAATGGGTTCGGACGATTCCAATTACATTATGCTTTACAACTAATGAGAGTTTCAACATTATGGCTAGGGAGCCAATTTGAATACCGACTTATAAACAAATCAATTTATATATTATAAGTTCGATTATGATAATTCATAGAATTATCTAATTATGATCTCATATTAATACCTGTGGCCTGTTCCCAATTTAATAGCGGCTCATTTGCAGCCAATATGACCAGTAATGGATAGGTTGTCATTTTCCTTACTGACTGGAAATGAGTTCAATTCTGCATGGGGACAGGCCTTGAGACCACAACTGGGATCTCTACCAAGAATCAATAAATGTGACAACTGTCGTAGTAATTGGGATCAACAGTAGAACCGTTGTTCTGGACCTAGTTGGGAGGCCTTAAATGAGATCACTTTCCCATGTTTAATACCAGTAATATGGATCATTCTCTTGTTATTTTTAACCACATTAAGGGGGTTGTTTGGGTATATGAATGAGTGGTGGTGTTCGGGCAAATCATGTATCTCAGAGCAGATGCAGTTTCAGAACACACACAGCTTCATTTATTCACTACCGTATCAGTATCTACCGGAGAACCACCATGCTCCCAACCGTTACCCACCATGGATGGGTTTTGAGCAATAAATTCACTACCCTACTTCTTCTACAACCTTCCTTGGGCCTGTCAGTCTGCCACGTTTTATACTTCCTTCCACAGACTGAACAGTCTGCAGGTCGGTATAGCAGAAAAAGTAAGAAACTTTAGTATTCAGTATTTAGCAGAGACTTTCTAGATTCTGGTCTCTGCATCTTTTTTCACAACATAGTCATGACGAGGTATGATGTGAAAACTCTGGGGAGTGATTTGGAGGACATGAGGGATTACTTCAGAAGTGGGAAGACTAAAGATTGGGAATGGAGGAATGCTCAGCTTAAAGGGTTGCTCTCATTTCTCAAGCAAAATGAGGCACAGATCTTCCAGGCACTTAAGGATGACCTGGGGAAGCCTCAAGTTGAGGCTTATAGGGATGAGGTGTGTTGTTATGAATTTGGGGGTTGATTTTACCTTGTTTTTGCTATTTTCTGATGTGGGTTTGGTTCCATTTTTGATTGGCAGATTGGGACATTAGTAAAGTCTGTGAGGTTTGCTGTGAAAGGACTTAAAGGGTGGATGTCAAGTAATGGGGTAAGTGTAAACTAAAAGGAGTGATGATCATCTTCTGTGTTTGATGAACTTCCTCAATGAACATTTTAAATGGTATTTTCTCAGGCAAAGATGCCCAAGGTTGCTCTACTTACTTCTGGAGAGGTGGTTCCAGAACCACTTGGACTTGTCCTCATTATTTCATCTTGGAACTTCCCATTTGGTTAGTGCAGACCGATAGAAATTATTTTCTACTTATTGAAAATTCATATATTTACTGGGAAGTGTTTGTGTGTGTTTCAGGAGTGTCATTGGAGCCATTAATAGGTGCAATAGCAGCAGGGAACACAATGGTTTTGAAGCCATCTGAACTTGCTCCTGCATGTGCTTCTGTTCTGGCTAATGTACTTCCTACTTACCTTGACAAAAAAGCTGTCAGGATCATTCAAGGAGGACCAGAAGTTGGTGAAAAATTACTGCAGCAAAAATGGGACAAAATCTTCTTTACTGGTACAAGATGCTGTTATCATCCGTTTCTGAATTCAGTTTTTGTCCTTCTAATATTGAGAAATTGCTCATCCCAAACATTTCGATCCATTATGAGAGTTTCAGGATTGGGTTTTCATATATTTTTCTTGCTCTTCAAAGTTACCATATTCTTGTTTTAATCAAGAAACTAACAGCAGCAAAAAGGGCACATAAGTCTTGTTTCCTGTTACAAAAAAGCTTCTGATTTTAATGATATCAAGAATCAGTTTATCCAATAATTCGAGTTCATATTCTCGACAAATTTATGGTAATTTGTACTTAATTCAATTGTTAGTGTTGGAGTTACTCAGATTTCATGTACAAGAGACTTTCGATCACCATAGAATCAGATCGCGCAATATAGTTACCCACCAAAAACTCAAAATGTGAGGAAGACTAAAGGATGAATTCTGTGACATTCTATAATACTTACAAACTATTGTGTGTCACTATGTAGGAAGTGTAAGAGTGGGCAAGCTTGTAATGGCTGCTGCAGTGGAACATTTAACACCAGTTGCTCTTGAGTTGGGAGGAAAGTGCCCTGCAGTTCTTGATTCCTTGGCGCCATGGCCAATGAAGGTAAAAAAAAAAAAAATCATTCAAGAAACTCAAAACCACTTTCGCTTTGGCTCTACTAGTCCGGTAATCGTTTCCATCCTCCATTGATTGTATCAGGTGGCCATAAATCGAATACTCGTCTCCAAGTTTGGCACTTGTGGAGGTCAAGCCTGCATAGCGGTTGACTATGTTCTTGTGGAGAAAAGATTAGCTTCTTCCTTGGTAATGAATCGTTGAACATTCCTAGAACAAATTTCATTTCTTCTTACCAGCGACTATTGATTCGACTTAGTCACATTCCTTCCAGGTGGAGTTGATGAAGGTGTTGGTCAAGGACATGTTTGGAGAAAAACCAAGAGAGTCAAATTCTCTTACCAGGATTATCAGCAAGCAACACTTCTCCAGATTGAAGAGTCTTCTCAATGATCCAGAAGTCAAAGCCTCAGTTGTCCATGGTGGCTCTATGGACGAAGAACATCTGTAAGACAAAAAGAACAATGATTCTTCCCTTAAAGCTCTGCCATATAATTTTCGCCCATATTCCCACTATGAACCATATCCCATAACTTTTCTTTACAGATACATCGAGCCAACCATAATTGTAGACCCTCCACTTAACTCCCAAATCATGACAGAAGAAGTCTTTGGCCCATTGCTTCCCATCATTACAGTAAGCAGCCAAAAAATATTTCTTTCGGATTTGCTCCAAAACGGATGCAAAGTTGTGAGCTTTCATTAGATGAATAAAAAACCCTTTTGCTTATAATTGGTGATTTTTTTCAAACAGTTGGAGAAGATTGAAGACAGCATCAACTTCATAAATGCAAGGCCAAAGCCGCTAGCTTTATATGCCTTCACAAAAAACCAGTCCTTTAGTAAAAGAATCCTTTCTGAGACATCATCTGGAAGTGTGGTTTTCAATGATGCTAACATCCAGGTATATTTTTAATCAAACTTACCGTGTTATTTATAAATAATATTTCGACGTGATTCGCTCTATCTTATTTGTTGCTTCGGAGGGTTTTACAGTATTGTGCAGATACCTTGCCGTTTGGAGGTGTTGGAGAGAGTGGGATGGGGAGCTACCATGGGAAGTACTCGTTTGACACTTTTAGCCATTACAAGGCAATTCTGAGGAGAAGCTACTTGACTGATTTTTGGTACAGGTTTCCTCCATGGAACTATCGCAAGTTGCTGCTGTTTGAAGCCACTTACCACTTTGATTACATAACGCTGCTTTTGGTCATTTTGGGCCTCAAGAGGTCCAGATATAGATGCTAGCTAGCCCCAAAGCCCATCACACTAGTACTTTATAATAATCTTTTGAAATTTCGTCCGCAATATTTGTAATATATTAATTACTGTTGTACCGGAGTTTAATCTTGTTAGGTAAAATGTGTATCTGATGATTGAAGGCGTTATATAAAACTAGATTTGAACCCGACCCGTTGGCCGGATGCATTTTATAAATGGTATAAACAGCAATAGCAATATGTCCGTAGTAATATGGACATGTTCAGTTGGTCGAATTCATTTTGCATATCGCAGAATATTGAGTAGCAATAGTTAAGCAAAATACAATTTTATTTGGTAGCATAAGAGAATCCAAATTATTTAGTAATTGATAATATTTAAAAGGATTAACATCATAGTATTTTTCTAACACCCTAACCGGTTCATTAGCTAAAATCCTTAGCATAAATGATAGACCTCGAACCAAGGAACCAACGAACCAACCCCTAAAAACTTGTTCAAATGACACTTATATTTACTTCTCTTTGATAGAAATTACTGCATATTTTTTTGGCTTTGTTTGGTTTCCTCTGCCATGAGCAGATCATCATCTCCATCAATAACAACGCCTTCATCTCCATTAGTGTCATTTCTATACCAATTATTAACTGTCTCTTCCTTATTCTATTGTATTCCAATGATCTCTTCTTTCTTCTCCTGCATTTGATAAAACTAAAAAAAAATATTTGTAAGATATTCTCAAATATAAAGCACTATTTTTCGCTAAAGTAGATTTTACCTCGTCCAATTTATGAATAATTTCCGCAATTTACTTTCTTTCGCTGCCAGCCTATCACTGGCATTATATGAGCTTGAAATCGTAATAATAGGCACATGATAAAAGGAACAACGAACCGGTTATCATGTGAGACCATACTCACCATGATTGATTAGTTGTTTTCTTGATGATGATACCTTGCAAAACCATTGTCATCGGTAGTTGTTTGCTCGTGGATCTCCCTAGGAAAACATTTAGAACATACACTATTTGATGCACATGGAGCTTTATGTATTCGAATGCCATTTAGACCATGAAGCATAAAATTTGTACCTACTTCATAAAATTGAAGATCTACTTAGATATAAAATTTCATCAAATATAATTGAATCTATTTCCGAAGGACTATAGAATTTATCTTCTATGTCTAGGAATACTAATAAATGAGTATCAGGTAGACCATTATTTTAAAAGTTCATTTGCTAACATTTTCAAAGTAAAAGAAATTATCAATAGCCATCTAAACTGAAAATAATTACCAAACAACTCATGACTAAAGAATGATTAAAGTAAACCTATGAAATAAAACATACATGCAAAAAAATTCTCATTCAACAATTGATTTAGCTTCATCTTAAAAGCTCTTGCGATGACATCAACTCTATTAGGATCTTTCCTAGAAGTAGTCATTATCCAATAAACCATGTATTGAATATCGTGCCAATCAGGTTTACACGAAAATATAACAGATAGATTTTATACTTGCTAATCTTGTTTGATAAATTCTCTTCAACTCAAATGTGTGGGAATTAATTTATGAAAATTAAGATAGAAAGCAATAAACAATTAATAGTTACCAGAAATGGCTAGAGATCATAAACAATTAATAGTTACAATAGATGTTCATTAACAGTCAGATCCATGAATCTGAATGAGGGGGACTGATTTGAACCATTATAATTGGTGCACGGGGGCACGGGGCTAAAGCCTTTACTGATTACTTTTTTTTTTTTTTTTCTGAGTGATATCAATGGAAGAAAATAGTTTACTTACAATTCTACCCAGGACCCCTAACAGAATCTAAAGAAGCCACCCCAAAAAATCAAAAGATTCTAGCTCTACACGAGACAAAAGCAGTGCTTTACGCGCCACTCTATGGGCAGCACTGTTGGCGGATCTGGGTACCGCCCTACACTCTATACAAACAGACAAAGAGCTAAGGATATGAAGACACTCTCGTAGCACCGGACCTCCAATCGAGTCTTCAATGATTACTCTATTAGCTAAATTTGTTACGAATTTTACATGTAATTTAATTTATATTTTAAAAAAAGATTGGGGGGGGGGGGGGGGGGAAGGGGCGCGCTATAAGCCTATAACCCCTCTTATGCCTCCAACATAACTCCTTCACTTTGTTCTTACCATCGGAAAGCTTACTTGCGCTTCCAATAGGAATTGAGTAGAATCAACCGCACCTTTTGATGATATAAAACAACTATGTTTATCTCTGAATCAGTTGTCGCATAAACACACATTAAATTATAAAATGTATATAATCATGCCAATATGAATATATGTACTTACAATGAATGTGTTAAGATAGAATTAGAGCACTGTTCAATTATTTGAATAATTCTCAATGGAAAATATTTCTTAGAGGTGTCAAATTGCCAAAGATAATTCCAAATAATTTAAAAATTAATTTGGCCAACCTTAGACATATGTCATTCTTTGATAATAACCCATCCTAACCATGTGTTGTTGTGATTCTATTGCATAGTCAATTAGTGTAAAAATGATTGCTAAAAAAGACTTAACAATGAATTCATGTCAATTTAATCAATCGATGCAAATCACGGTTGTCACGCCGGTCGACATGCCACCAGTTGAATCAATCAGTACCGATCATAAAATCTGCGTGAACACCACCTGTATGATCGAGATGATTAATTTACGATCTCTAAGCAAAATAACGTTATTTTATCACTCGTATGTTGCATTTTGTTTAAATGTCAATATCAATTGCAAGTAAATTGACTTCAAACATGTTTTATATATGATTAAGTTCATTTATTGTTGATAGATTTTCACATTTCTAAATATTTTGTTAAACCGACATGAACCGGAACACACCAATTGTCCACTGGTTGAACTTGTTCACTTGCTAAACCAACACAACGGTATAAACCGGTTTGACAACCTTGATGCAAATTAATTAAACTCAATGACTTCTCTTGCAAAGAAAGAAAAGCTCGACCATGAAGCTACCCAGAAGTAAAGCTCGATCATGAAGAGCTTGGACATTGCAATTTTTTTTATTGAAAATGCTCTTAATTAAATAAAAACCAAAACTTGATTCAGGTCCGTTAAATAAAAACCAAAACTTGATTCAGGTCCGGTAAACATTCAATCCCATACAGAAAAATCATCGAAGAAGCCTGGTTTTGGAATTAAAAAATAAAAAGTAAAATGTCCCAAAACTCCTTCCACGCTTTGCGCAGAAGTCTGGAAAAAAAGAATGGAGTGGCTGTTGGAGGAGAAACTCCATATGTTGTTTGGAGGAAGGATTTATCGTTTTTCTGCTTCTTATGATTATGTACATTCCCGTGATCCAAGTTGGCCCGAGTAAGGTAAGCCCATTAATAGCGGAATGAATTGGGCCCAACCCATTAAACAACGTGATCTCCGCAAAAAGCGAGGGAAATGTTTCCCGCCATTTTCATTCCTTCCTCCTTCTTTCTTCCTCAGCGAAACCCTCACACTACTCTACTGCCCCTTTTTCTTCTGGTTTCCTTTTTTTTTTTCTGCAGTTTCCGCAAAGCACATCCCTAAACCCAGATCTCCGCAACTAAACACGGACCCAAATACCCCGGTGCTTCAATGGCAGAAACTCGAACACCCAATAAGCGCTCAGCAAAAACGTTCAAGTCTCCGAGACAATCGTCTCCTCTCCCTCCGACGCCGAGCTTCCTCACCCCGCAGACTCCGCAGACCGCCGACCCACCCCGCCGATCCTCCCGTCGTCTATCCCTCAAGTTTGATTTCACCCCCGAGAAGCCAGTTCCGCAATCGGCAAGGAAGGAGAGGAGCTCGAGGAGAAAGGAATTGATAAAACCCCCAAAATCGAGTTCTAAAACTGTGGATGCGGCGGAGTTGGCTTTCTCCCCGGCGTCTCCGGACCAATCGGAAGCTAGGAAGAGGAAAAGGGCCGATGGGAAGCAGCAAAGGACGGCGGCAAAGAGGGTTTATTACAGGAAAGTGGTGTACGACGAGGGAGAATTTGGGGTTGGGGATGATGTGTATGTGAAGCGGAGGGAGGACGCGAGCTCGGACGAGGAGATCCCTGAATCGGAGGAATGTAGAATGTGCTTCAAGGCGGGGAAAGCTGTCATGATTGAATGTGATGATTGCTTGGGTGGATTTCATTTGAAATGCTTGCAGCCTCCGTTGAAAGATGTTCCGGATGGGGATTGGATTTGTGGGTTCTGCGAGGGGAAGCGATCTGGGAAGGTGGTTGAGAGGCCAAGGCCTCCCGCTGGGAAGAGGAGAGTTAGAACTTTGAGGGAGAAGCTTCTTTCCAGTGACCTATGGGCTGCACGTATTGAAAGGTTTGAGTATTATTAGTTTCTACGGTTAGTGAGTTCTAAGTTCTTTTCAGCAGTGGTGAAATAATGTGAATCGAATTTTTGCAGTTTGTGGAAGGAACCGGATGGAAGCTATTGGTTTAAGGGTCGATGGTATATTATACCAGAAGAAACTGCAACTGGTAGGCAAGCTCATAACTTGAAGAGAGAGCTTTACAGGACAAATGATTTTGCTGATATTGAGGTGAAATTTAATTCAAGTCATGGCCAAAGATTATGTTCAGCTTTAGATTCATCCAAAATGTGGTTTAGTTTGAACAAGAATATTCACTTGAGAGTTAGTTGCTGAGTTGTAAAGTGGAAGTCTAAAATCTGTGCCTTTGTTGGATCTTTGGATGCTGCAGATGGAGTCAGTCATAAGGCATTGCTCGGTCATGACTCCCAAAGAGTATGCAAAGGAAAACGAAGGAGATGATGTTTTCATGTGTGAATATGAGTATGACGTACGGTGGAATTCATTCAAGCGCATAGCTGAAATCGATAATGACGAAGAGGTAAAGAAAGAGGATACATGAACTGCCTTTACTCTGCTTGGTGATCACTTTTGGATTTGCACGAAGTTGTCTTTGAATGCCTATTTGATCATTTGATAGGTAGGGGAAGAAGCTGAGAGTGATGAAGATTGGAAGTCGTCCAAAGATGTAGTTTCTGATTCTGAAGATGACATGGAGTATGAAGCTGAAGCTGATAAACATTTGCCAAACAGAACCTCTTCAGCACATGCATTGGCTGCAGTATGTACAATTTTGTTATTGCAACCATTCTTGGTTTCGGCTCATTGTCTGGCTTTTCTAATCGGTTTATGTGGCTGTTACAGAATTCAAAGAAAGGGCATTTTTACGGACTTCAGAAGATAGGAACCAAGAGGATACCAGAACACGTAAGGTGTCGCAAACAAACTGATCTAGAAAGAGCAAAAGCAACACTGTTGTTGGCAACATTGCCCAAGTCTCTTCCTTGCAGGAATAAGTATGAGAACTTAAAAGTATTCATTTCTTCCTGGCTTCTATCTGAGAAAAAAGTTCTAAATTATACATCAATTTGATGCAGAGAAATGGATGAGATTACTACATTTATAAAAGGTGCCATCTGTGATGATCAATGTCTAGGTCGTTGCCTCTACATCCATGGTGTTCCTGGAACTGGGAAGGTAAACCTTCCTCTCGAATTCAAATTCCCAAACTGTCCAAGTTTGTGTACTTTGCAAATAATTTAAAATTGGACTCTTTGCTGATATGAAAAATTGCAGACAATGAGTGTGCTATCCATAATGAGGAACTTGAGGTCTGAAGTTGATGCAGGAACAGTAAAACCATACTCTTTTGTCGAGGTTAATGGTCTAAAGTTGGCATCACCAGAGAATATCTATAGGGTAAAAGAAGGATCTTTGCTAAACTGCTCTATCAATTCCTTAGTTGAATCATTTCATTAATCATCAATTGACTGTTTCTTGTTTTAGGTTATTTATGAGGCTCTGAGTGGTCACAGGGTTAGCTGGAAAAAAGCTTTCCATTTGTTGAATGATAGATTCTCAAATGGGAAAAGCATTGGCAAAGGAGATGACAAGCCATGTATTCTACTCATTGATGAGCTTGATCTACTTGTGACAAGAAACCAGTCGGTACTACTCTATCAATCACTTTTCAGTTATTATTTTCTTGAAGATTGTTGCATATGGATTGGTTAGATTTCAGCTCTGAATCGCCTTATGTCCACAGGTTATATACAATATTCTTGATTGGCCAAATAAGCCGCATTCTAAGTTAATCGTGATAGGTAGGTACTACTTAACGCAATTCTGCAAGTAGTCTAAACATTCAGTTTTGGATGATATTGATTGATTGTTCTGTTGTACACTATCAGGAATAGCAAATACAATGGACCTTCCAGAAAAGCTGCTCCCTCGCATTTCTAGCCGTTTGGGTATCCAGAGGCTTTGCTTTGGCCCCTACAACTATCAGCAGCTACAAGAGATCATTTCAAGTCGCCTTAAAGGGATCGACGTGTTTGACAAGCAAGCTGTAGAGTTTGCCTCAAGGAAGGTCGGTTCATGTGATCTCTTCCTCTGTAATTTGAATCACACCACCACTGCCATTAATGAAATTATACCACTCCAGACTTGTTGCTTTTTTCTGATGTCCAATACGTGAATACACCCTAGGTTGCAGCCATATCTGGAGATGCACGTCGTGCTCTAGAGATATGCAGGCGCGCAGCTGAAATTGCCGATTATCGCATCAAAATGTTGAGGGAAACTCCCACAGGTACATATATATAGTCGTGAGTGAAGAGAAAAGCATTCACTTCAAACTTCCCGTAAACAGCCAGTTCCTCATTGAATGAATGTATATTCCACCAATTTTCTAGGGAAAGCGATGGTTGCAATGGCAGACGTTGAAGCAGCCATTCAGGAAATGTTCCAAGCACCGCATATCCAAGTAATCAAGAACTGGTTTTTCTTACCGCCCAAGTAATGAACTTTACCTCACTTCATGTATCTGCTCGAGACTAACCGATCGTTCCTGCTTCCCCTTGCCCCTTGCTTTTATCTCCAGATGATGAGAAGTTGCTCCAAACTCGGTAAAATATTCTTGACAGCCATGGTATATGAGCTTTACAAAACAGGGATGGGAGAGACAACATTTGAGCAGGTCCCAATTCTCTGTAGCTTTCATTTCTGTAGGAGGAAAAATAACAAACCTTTTTCCGTCCCACTAAAATGTTGTTGTGTTCTTGCAGTTGGCGACGACTGTTTCATGTCTCTGTGCGGGCAATCGAGAAGCCTTTCCTGGCTGGGACACTCTCATGCGAGTTGGGTAAGTTGTTACATTATTTCAAACCCAAATTTCGATCCTAGATTTGGTTGAACTCTCCTGATGAGAAATATGGCATGGTTTTTATTGGTTGTGGGCAGCTGTATGTTGGGTGAAAGCAGAATAATTGTATGTGAACCAGGAGCTAGGCACAGGCTGCAGAAACTGCAGCTAAACTTTCCAAGGTTCGCTTGCTGCTCCCTTGAACTTAAAGCAACCAACTTTACTCTTGGGTAACAGTTATGAATGGGGTTCTTAGCAGGCATTTGCTTGTTTTAATACTGTGCAGCGATGACGTGACTTTCGCCCTGAAAGACAGCAAGGACCTGCCATGGCTGGCCAAGTTTTTATGCCATGGCTAAGCCGACTGTACCATTTACCTTATTACCTATATCCAGCAAATTTTGGGTCCCCTTTTGAACGTTTTTCATCAGCTTTTATTTATTCAGAACCATACAAACTGTGGTTCAGAAGCTATTAGCTACCAACATGGGCGGCTGGAGAACTAGAATTTGTACTTTGTTGAGACTTTCCTGCGTTGGTTTCAACAGTTGTATCCCTTGAGAGAGTCAATCGCATAAGCTCTTTAAAAGCTTCAGTTTTACGGGATAACTTTTCTTCTTCACCCAGCGAAACCCACATGTGAAAAGAAAAGCCAGATACTTGAAGGAACCTGTTGGCAATGGCAGCAGAGGTGGCTCACTGTCGTCGCAGTCTCGCAGACGTCGCCTCCTTCGTTCCGGTCGTGAGAAACGAAACGGCGACGGAAGTTGGGATTGCAGACGGATTTGCACCGGACGGCGGACCTAACGTTCGGCATATATATTGACGACATTCGAAGGTCGAGCGCTAATCGTTGTTGGTGAACTCCAAACCAAAAAGCTTTACCCAGATGGACATTATATTATAGGCGAATAATCATTCTCGTATCGTACTACAAACTAAGCACGCCGGCGATGGCAATTAAGAACAGGGGAAAGTAAAAGGAGTGAAGGACGGTGTGAATCCAGACGGCTCGCCGAATTTTTCCTAGAAACCAATCAAGCCAGCCAGAAGAACAAACACGCCCAAGTAAGAACCCAACTTAATCTCCTTCATCCTGTACCCACCACTGGTGCCATTTCCCGGCGCAGAAGCAGCAGGAGCAGAGCCGCCGGGAGTGGAACCAGGAGCAGGGGAAGGCGCCGGAGCGGCGCCGCCGGCCAGCTGCAGCGTCTCCTTGGCAGCCAGGTTCGCCGGGCTAAACTCGTGCTTCGCGGGAACACCGTTGGCCACCGTCGCGCCGACCTGCCAGACGTGGTTCACCTGATCGGCGCCGGCCGGGAGCTTCGCGGAGGCGAAAATCGCGGTGGCCCCGCCGCTGAGGGACTCGGCGGCGAGGTCCCAGACGTCGAACGAGAGCTTCTCCTCCTTGATGCTGCCGTACGAGACGAGATTGAATGTCTTGACGACGAGGCCGCCGCCGGCGGCCTTGAGGGCAATGAGGGCCTGGGTGCCGGCCATTCCGGTGCCGTTCGGGTTGATCCCCCAGCCGACCCATCCGTCGGCGGCTGGAGCGGCGGCGACGAAGGCGACGGAGAGGGAGGAATTGGTGGCGTTGAATGTGTAGTGCAGGGCGGCGGACAGCGCCGGGAGGGATGTGCAATTGGCGAAGATTTTGTTGTTCTTGAATTTCTGAGGCGGGCAGGTTGTAGTGGCAGAGCGAACAGAATCGGTGCAGAAGAGGAAGAGGAGGAGAGAGAGAGCTGCAAGGGAAGAGAGGGACGCCATTGTTATGGTGTGTACTGGAGCTTCTGGTAGAGAGAAAATGAGGAAAGGGAGTTAGGAAGGAAGGAGGAGAGTGGCATCCTATGTAATTATATATAGTGGGGGAAAATGGAGGATTGGGCCCTTTTCGGGCTCCTGACCCGGCCCGCAAAGTTTTAATTATTAAAAAGGAGGTTATCTTTATTTAATTACCCAGCTGGTGGGCCGGGCCATTCACGTCTCCGAGGACACAGCGTGATTAATTATCGACAGAAAGATGATAGATTAATTAACATTTAACTGTGAAAGAACATGTCTTGTTTGCCACTTTCACGGAAGAAACAAAAGAGAAGATCAAAGAGACCTAGTTATCTCTAATACCATATTGTCTGCTCCCTTCCACTCTCGTAAGAATTTAACTTTGGACATTTTATTAAAAAAAGTATGGTACTAATTGAGTTAGGTGAATACTTATGTGAAGGAAATTTCCTTTGTTTTGGTTTCTTTTAATTTGATGTTTTGATCGGTTGTTAGGAATGGTTTGGTTTTAATAACTCGATTTCTCGATGGAAAGGTTAATTATGTGGATCTATATCACTCTTGTATGTACTGCTCTCAGACAAATACATTGTTGTGTAAGGAAGTGATTAAGATCCATACATGAGTTTTTTTTCCCAGCAACTCAAGTTATTGTGAGCAGTTGGTTTTTGACATGGTATCAGAGTTGTTCTCGCGATCCCTGATATTAATAGTTGGGTTAAAGCACATGATATGGTGGTCATGTGCAAACTTCGAGTTTGTGAGTTGATTTTTGTTTGGTGTGTAAAAAAGTTGGTTAAGATTTATACATGGGTCTTTATCAACAACTTGAGTTATTGAGACCAGCTGATTTATAACATGTTGTGCTACAATCAGCTGTTGATATTGAGGGTCGTGGAGATTTGAATACACGAGCACTCGAGCAAACCCAACTTCAATATCATCAAGTTCGAATCTCAATAACTCGAATAGTTGTAAGAATGTTAATAGACTAAAGAGGGTTTTATCTCATCATGTAAGTTTGTGAAAGTTTCTTATAGGGAATACTTATGAATTTTATATGTAGAGTTTGGTTTTATGGAAATAGCTACGAATAGTATGCTTAGTTTTGACGCCATGTGTAAGGACCACTAGGTATATCCATATTTATTCTTCAAAGTGGAAAAAATAGGATTGCTGACTTTGAGAGATATTTCAATGGCAAAGCAATGAAGGCAAGATTCCACAAGATAACTAGGAAGACATCTTGTTGGGTGTATTTAAAATGATGATATTTGCAAATACTATGCAAGTGACCAAATATATCGATTTATTTTGATATTTTGATGCAACTAACCGCAATTTGAAATGCACATGCAATTTCGAAATAATTTTAGAGGAGTGATCTGAAATATTCAAAATTATACACTATAAAATCGAGATATACACTAACATTTTTCACATTTTTGTTATAATTTTATGTACAAAATACACTTAATTGATCATAAAATTTTGTAAATACACCAGACTAAATGCACCGTAAAATATTTTGTTGAGAGTGAATCACTACTCTTCATTAATCAAGATAAAAATTGCACATATGCAGTTTGATGGGTAGAATATATAATGAATAAGTTAATTAGTTGATTGGCCAAAGATGGCAAAGAGTCACAAATTGGGTAAGTTGACCTTATTTCCCCCCAATCAAGTTACATCCCAACATATTCTGTAGCTGAATCCATATGGAATGCATGCATGTCCCTAACTTTGTACATCTTATGGTATTGGCAAACTCAGAGTCATTATTTCATAATGGGTTAATACCTTAGTTTGGCCCGAACTATAGACAAACTTTTTACTTTGGCTCGTGGTATCGGAAATTGCTATTCTGGCCTAAACTATGTAGCATACTTTCTTATTTGGCCCGTAGGTGGGTTTGACCGTCAAATTAGACGGTCAACTCGGTTGACCGTTAGTCAAAGTCCACCTCACTTGCCACGTCAGCTATCAAGGAATAAAAAATTATTATTTTTTGAATTTTTGAGTTTTGTTTACTTTCTAAAATTAAATAAAAATAATTTGGGGAGCTTTTTTTATTAATTTTTTTCGTTTATTAATTTTATTATTAGAAAGTAAAAAAAATTCAAAATTCATTTTTTATTCATTAATAGTTGATGTGGCAAGTGAGGTGGACCTTGACTAACGGTCAACTCGGTTGACCGTCTAATTTGACGGTCAAACCCGCCTCCGGGCCAAATAAGAAAGTATGCTACATAGTTTAGGCCAGAATAACAATTTCCGATACCACGGGACAAAGTAGAAAGTTTGTATATAGTTCGGGCCAAACTAAGGTATTAACCCTTTCTTAATTGATGGGAGTAATGATTCCCTGGTTTAGGCTATTGTAAGTTCATATATCGCGATGTTTAATGAGGTCTCGCTATTTATATTGTATATGAACTGAAAGTTCAAGTTTGTTCTACTATATTGAACTTTTAATGACTCTAAAATCAATTTAATAAAAACAAATCGACGATTATGATTCGTTGAAATATATGTTAGTACATCCAACCTCTTTGTTTGCAAATGTATGCTAGCCTTTGTAATCTTACCTGCCATTGATAAATAATTATTTAGCTCGTCACTCGTCAATGCTAATTGCACGAACCTCCCTGTTGGTAACTACCGGAGTTCTCGCGGATAGCCGGTAAAACTATAAACCTAGGGATAACTGCAATTATATCAGGGTTGACTTCACACGAACATGTTTAGAGTCAACTACAATTTGATTTCAAATGTTTGAATGTGAGAGTTGATTGAAAATCAAACTAAGAATCTCCACTCTTCCTTTTCCCAATGCCCTATCCTTTTAAAGCGACTTACTTGTTGAATTCACCTCTATATATTTGGACAAATCACAATCGTCAATTATTTGTTTTTAAATAGAGAAAAGACTCATATATAGAAAATCAGGATATAATAATTTACCCATTAGAAATTAATTACGGCTTATTACCATATTTTAACTTCGAGTTAATTCATGATATAAGTACGAGAATGCCACATTTCTGTATACTAGATTTTACTGTATATCCTGTTGACTTCAAGAAAGAGTACGACTTTCAACCTAAACAAACAAATAAATAAAAAGCAGGACTGGGTGATTATTGAATAAGAAGGCACAATCTACTAAGCACATGGGAAATCAGTAATTAGCAAATACAAGGGATCTTGCTCCCTCGCATTTCTAGCCAGTTTGGTTTGGGGAGGGCTTTTACTTTGACCCCTACAACTATATCAGCAGCTTCAAGTCGCCTTAAAGGGATTGACCTGTTTTATAAGCAAGCTATAGACAGTGATGTTGATCTGCTGTTCTTTCTTTGGTGGACTAATTAAGATTAAAGTACGCCACATGAAGAAAGCGAGTGAGAGTGTACACAGACAGAGACTATCTATCTCTTTCTGGTCGAACCGCCGATATGTTACGGTTTTTCAATCCTTGGTTCTGAGTCATATTTGTGAGAAACTGAATGGATGGTATGGTTTTTGTTATTAGGTCATTGCCATATTATAGAATCACGTGTGGTGATATATGGTCTTTGCAATATACAGTTCCCTTTTATTCTTTAAACTAAATTCATTAAGCCATTGGTATGTTGAGTTTAAGTTTCCTAATTATGTCTCAAATGGGAAGGGGTTGCCCAATAACTAACACTAATATTGATGCCCTCTTTTTGATCAGTCATATATAATGCAACATATCTGTAATGTGTATGGTGATCAACAAGATGACTATTGGGGGAAATATTTTATGGATACTCTAAACTCTATTGAAAGAAGTCAAAGAATCAAACATTTTTCTCTATATTGGCGGTTTGAATATGATTCGTATGACACACCATTGTAAGTGCTTTCTTAATTTATTCATAGACAATTTTCCGAATAAAACAATTACAAGCTCTAACCGTCGACAATATTTATGAAAATTAACTACTCATTTCACACATATATCTCAAAGCTGGGTTACTAAACTCCATCAAAAGATAGTCGTTAACTTTCAAGGTGAAAATTGATTAAATATGTACAATTGGGAGCAACTCCAGTGTTCATATACATGAACTACTTAATTAAGAAACATTTTTTTTTTGTTTTAAATCATTAAGCAACACTTACATTACAAACATGGATGAGAATATGAACAAAGCACACATTATATAGGTCAAAATTGGGTGGGGTAAATGATACATTTGGTCACTGAGATTACTAAATCGTGTCATATTTAGTCACAAGAAAAATTTAATATCAATTTTGGTCACTCGAATTACTGACACAGGTCACATTTGGTCACTCTTCTGTAGCCTCTGTCCAACTCCGGTCACTCGAATTATTGAAAAATGTCACATTTAGTCACTCGTATTACTGAAACATGTCACATTTAGTCACTCTCCCAAAAGTTTCCGTCCAACTACATTTAGTCACTCGAGTTACCGAAACTGGTCACATTTAGTCACTCTCCCAAAAGTTTCCGTCCAACTACATTAATGGAGTTGGACGGAAACTGACGGGAGAGTGACTAAATTTGACCAGTTTCGGTAATTCGAGTGACCAAAATTGATATTAATTTTTTCTAGTGACTAAACATGACACAATTTAATAATCTCAATGACCAAATGTTTCATTTACCCGGTCAAAATTACATACAAAATGCATAATCATTAATCACCAAAACTCTACCGGCCAAAGGGCCGGGGCATGTGCTAGTATTCTGAGAAGTGAGAATACAATTCCATGAGAGAAAGCAGTTCACATATTGGAAACAAATAGGAAACGCTTTTTTTTTTTTTTTGTCCTCTCTCTTTCTAGTTCTACCTAAGAAGCTGGCAATTTCATGAAACATAACACCAGCTTTTTTTCAGTATTTCCTCCTCCAGGAATGCCACTTTACTTTCATCTGGTACCACAACGGCGGCACGCCAAGGATCCCTCGCGACAACCTCGGATCAAACACATTAAACTCCACCTTCCTCAGAGTATCCAACAGAACTTGGGCAGGAACAGAAGGCAACAGCACCGGACGAGCCTCAACAGGCACCGTTCCAGCCAACTGACGAGCCTTCTCCAGATGAGCATTCGCCACGGACGCCATCTCAAACACAGCATCGCTCAAACTTCCCTCCCGTGATTCCAATTGAACGTATGACCTCCCTCCTTCTTTAACCAACAACCCATGTTTCAACGCCACCTCGATTGGTATATACGAGCCCTGACGGCTCTTGCTTGCATGATACGGCAACGACCTGAGAAGCAAGAGTAGCCCACTCGCCTTACCAATGTGGGACGCAGCGTGGTCAGCTGCAGTAGACCTGATGCCACCGGATTGAAGGGTTGTGTACAGAAGGGTGGATACGGTGTCCTCAGCATATTTTTCCAGCTCGGATATGGAGTTTGGGATGTCATTGGGATCTCTCCTTGCGTCGTTGATCCTTGCCTCGACAGAACGTTTCAGCCATCCTTTGCTGATTTTGTGGTCGGAGATTACTGATGCGAGGGCTTGTGCGACTGGCTGCTCGATTGACTTGCTGGAATATATCTTGTCAATTGCTTCTTGCCACCATAGAAGGCGCATGAGACCAATTCTGGGATCTGATGCGACGTCCATGGCTTTGGAAGTTTCCACGTTGAAGGCACGGAGTGCAAAAGCTGCCTTTCGCATGTCGGGAGGAAGCTCGAGAAGGCAGAGGTAGTGGTGGTAGTCATAGGTTCGGACTTGTTGTACGCAGAAGGAGAATGCTGACCGCAAGGTAGTGGAAGCGCCTTTCATCAAAGCAGCAGTGTGCTTCCCCCCTGAAAATTTGTGTGGATAATTACGATTAGAAAAGCTGTCTCAAACAACAACGAAACTAAAATTTCTCATATTCATTTTGTCTGAACTCTAAAGAATCACATTTTCTAAAGAGAATCCTAACAACTACCATCTTTGTTGAACTTCCAAATATGCATAAAAACGCCTAAATGATTCTTATTTCTTAATACATAGTAATAATATGAGCAGCAACTGACTATGCACGGAGAGAAAGGAGAATGTAAAATCACATAATTACCCTTATTTAGTCTCCTATTTTGTCTAACCCGTAGGCAACAACTCAAGCATCCTGGTTGAATGAATGTAATGCAGACCATTTGCAGTAAATATTAATATGCAGGTTATTGCTTCTTTATAGTTAAGGAAGATAGTTAAACAAAGTGCAGATGATACCCCAACCGTGATACCAAAAAGAACTGGAATCGACAAGGATCAAGAAATTGCAAATGAACATGGTTAATTCTTTTTGGTAGTTTTATACACTGCAACCTTAACAGATTGACAGATTAAAATCAGATTGGCAGCAACCTTGAACAAAGTGCAGATGAACATGGTTCTTCTTTTTGGCAGTTTTATACACTGCAACCTTAAACAAATTGACAGATTAAGATCATATTGGCAGCAACATTATACAGTCAAACAGCCAGTCAGCCACCAATCATGTTCAATCACATTGGAATCATAATCCCTTCAAAAAACCCTTGCCTACAAGCTGAGATTGCTTAATCTAATAACTGTTCTCAACCTAGCAGCCCTCTCACAAACATCATCTTGTCTAATATGTCTTCAAAATGGTAGAACTTCATCAAGGACACGAAAATTGCAGTTTGAAGAACATATATATATGTGCACTGTAGTATTGTTGCGGTATGAAAACTTAGGTTGGTAGAACTGTATTCACTACGGTTGAACCACTCACAACCAAGCTTACAAGGCCATGAAGGTTGCGGCAATTCTGCCAAGTAATCAACTTTCCTAATATGTTTGACTGGACAAAGTAAGTCATGAAAGCTTTAAAAACCCTCAAAACACAAATCTATTTCTGCTCTCCTTCGCCAAACACCAACAAAGCAAGTCATAAAACCCAGAACCCAAAAGATTGCGATTGAGACGAAGGCATCACACCAAAACAAGACAAGGTGGAAGGACGGAGAAAATGGATTTCGCAAACTCACCTGCCGGAGAGTTTTGGCTGCTCGCTAATGCTCTCCGGAGCCGAGTTTTTGCTGCAGCCTGCAAATTTCCTACCCTCCGAAGCTGAGTCGCCGCCGGTTAGCACTCCTCGACAGCAGCTGGTTTGTCTTTCCGCTCCTTCGTTTGGGTTGCAGTAAAACAGAACGAAGGGTTCTGCGAATGGATACAGAGACAGACAGTAATTGAAGGGTTAATAGAAAGAAGGGTTAAGTTGGATCTGAAATCCACCACCACCTAACTACATGTATATCCCTCCCCGCTCCCCCTCAGTACTTATCTAGTCGATACCAGCCAAGTAGAACAAACTCGAAACACGCCTAGAAAGAGTCTTAATATCAGAAGGCGGAATCCGAAAACTTTATGCACAACTCTAACTAACCTGTGGAAGAGTTTTTTATGCAGACCCTAATCGGTGGATCTCCGAAACTGACTCCCTACTCTCCTCGGCATCGGAATGGTGCTTGGTCGCCGCCGGTAGCCCTCAAAGGGTTCGTCCAAAAAGAGTTTCGCGTCGTCGATTTGTTTGAGGGACCAGTTATTGTAACAACACTCATTGTGTTGTTATTGTAACAACACTAGTCCCCAACCAATAAGAAGCTAGGATTGTGATGACTTTTTATTAAATGAGTTGACCTAGTGTAAAATCAAAACAGGGGTATAATTGTCATTATGAAAAATCTATTTAAATAAAAAAATAAAAAATATAAAAATATAAAAATATAAAAATATTTTTTTTATTTTCTGCCCAAAAATTTGGTCGTCGGAATTCTGCCACCGGTCGCCGGAAAATGGTCGCCGGTCACCGGAATATGCTTTTTGTCGCCGGAATATGCTATTTTGTGGCCGGAATATGCTTACCGGAGTCGGAATATGCTTACCGGCGTCGGAATCTAGTCACCGGGGCCGGAATATGCCTATCGGCGTCGGAATCTGCTCACTGACGGTGACCGGAGTTCGGTCAACGGTCTTCGTTGACCGGTCAACGGTCTTCGTTGACCGGATGTTATGGTCTGCATTGTGAGATTTATGGTTTGGTTTCTCATATTTTTTTATGCCTTTTATGGTTTGTTTTATTGTGTTTGTGGTTTGCATTGAGAAGTTTCTGGTTTGCTTTATCGTGTTTGTGGTTTGCATTGAGAAGTTTCTGGTTTGCTTTATCGTGTTTGTGGTTTGCATTGAGAAGTTTCTGGTTTGCTTTCCAAAACTTTGTGGTTTGCATTATGAGGTTTCTGGTTTGTTTTAATATATTTGTGGTCTGTATTAGGACGTTTATGGTTTGTTTTTTTGTGGTTTGGTTTACTGTAATTGTGGTTTGCATTATGAGGTTTCTGGTGTGCTTTCGCAAATGTTGTGGTTTGCTTTGTGAGGTTTGTGGTTTGTTTTAGGAGATTTGTGGTATGCATTAGAAAGTTTCTGGTTTGCATTAAGAAGTTTATGGTGTGCTTTCGAAACTTTTCTGGTTTGCTTTGCGAGGTTTCTGGTTTGTTTTAATATATTTGTGGTCTGCATTATGACGTTTTTGGTTTGCTTTACCGTGTTTGTGGTTTGCATTAGGGGGTTTCTGGTGTGCTTTTCAAAATATTTATGGTGTGTTTTGTGAGATTTCTGGTTTGTTTTAGGGAATTTGTGGCATGTATTGGGAGGTTTCTGGTATGTTTTTTGTTGTTTGTTTTATCGTATTTATTGTCTGCATTAGAAGGTTTTGGTGTGCTTTAGAAATATTTGTGGATTGCTTTGTAAGGTTTTTGGTATGTTTTAGGCGATTTGTAGTCTGCTTTAGGAGGTTTTTAGTATGCTTTTTGTGATTTATTTTATCGTGTTTGTGATTTGTATTATCAAGTTTTTGACGTGCTTTTGAAAATTTTACAGACGGCAAATGCTCTCATTAGCTTCATCCCATACTGAGTCAATGACCCACAATTCCCTTCGAACACCCTCACCTGCAAAAGTAAAAATAAAAAAAATTGATTCATCAACCATTGGTTCAAGAAAGAGGAAAGTTTGGATTGATCAAAGCTAACTTGCAAGTCCAGCAGAAGAGGCACTTGAGTTTCCTCCACTTTAGCAGCCAGAGACAAACAAGCCACTACAACAAGACGTTGGGGCAGCTGGGGTAGATACAAGAATGTCTGGTTGATAAACTGGCCATCCCTTCATAAAAAGCAAAAATTAAAGGTAGCAGCTTCAGGAACTAAAACTGAGCTCAACTGACTTCAAAGGAAGTAACTTTTTAGTCTGTAATACTACCTGCCTCCCACAAACTGCTGCAACTTTGATCAGTGGGTCGCCATTGTCATCACGAAGCCCATTCGCCATCCGAACCACTTGTTCGCATAGCAAGACGTTGGGGCAAAGAACAAGAGAAACTTCACGGGAAGGTTTGAAACCCTTATCAGAAGCAGAACCACTAACAGCGCCGCCGCTAGAAGCGGATAGCTTGTGAATCAGAGGAACTAGATAGGAATGCGTTTTCCCACTGCCAGTCTCCGCCGCAATGATCGAATCCTTCCCGGAAAGAATCGACGGAATGGACTCAGCCTGAACAAGAGACTGACGGTTGAATCCGGCACTAGATAGAGCTTGAGAGATTGTGTCTGACAAGCCGAGAGCAGTCCACGAAACGCCTTCATCGGCGAAGAAAGTCTCCACGCCGCCACGATTCGCGGCGGTTGAAACGGCGGCTGCTGTAGCTAAGCTCCGAACTCCTCGTCGGCTGAGACGGTGGTCGTCCTTGTCGCCGGGTTGAACGGCGATGAACTCGTGGTGTCGCCGTCGCTGCAATTGTTGGGAAGAAGGGAGAGGTCCGGCATAATTGGAAGAGAAGCGCAGATTGGGGGGCATGGTTAATTCTTTACTTTTTTTGTTTGAAATTAATTTTTTTATTTTATCAATTTACTCTTTTATCCTTGTTGTTACTATAACAACATTATGGCTGTTGTTATGCTATCCGGCCCCGAGAGTCTGGTCGACAGTAATGGAAGTAGGGGTGTTCAAACGGTTTGGTTACCATGGTAATGGTAAGCCATACGGCACCGTTTACGCTTACTCCCTTGACTATCAAATGCAAAACTGTTGCGTGTTGCCGGAGAAAGGCCCGAACCAGTGTCTTTTTACTTCTCCCGCCGCCTTATCTCAGCAGCCCAAGCGCGGGAAACGGCCGCCGGCTGCCTCATCCACCGCAGATGTTGAAGCTATTGGCTGGCCGGACAATGGTCTCTGTGACTTCTGTGCTTCCATCTCTCTTCTTTCCAAAACCCTTTTCCTGCTTTACAACAATAAAACTGCTTCCGCCCAATTCTTTGTCCCTCGCGTCTCCTTCGTCTTCCAGACCACGGTTCTACTCCTTAGTTTCGCAAATTTCTAATCAAAGGGGTAATTGTAATGGAGCCAGCTTTGATCCATACTATTTATCTTGCTGTATGCCTGAAAAGCGCCTCAGAGTTGCTGTTCTGCTCAGTGGGGGAGTGGATAGCAGTGTCGCCCTTCGGCTTCTCCATGCCGCCGGCCATGAATGTACTGCCTTTTACCTCAAAATCTGGTTCCAGGTACGATTTTGTCGCCTTTAGAACTCTCAAATTCGGAAATCCGGCCTCTTTTTGGGCTGGTTCTTATGTTGGGTGGATTTTTTTGTGTGTAGGAAGACTTTGAGAACTTTTGGTCAGAGTGCCCTTGGGACGAGGATTTGAAGTATGCAACAGCTGTTTGCAATCAGGTTACCCACTCGAATACAGTAGTCATTTCTACTGATAGTTCCTTTCCATACTGGTTCCAACATGTACTATGCTTTCAAGGAGATGATATGATCTGTCCTGATCTGTATGTTTGTGAATTGTAGTCTTTGTTTTCCAAAAAGAATTGTAGTCGTTGGATTTTAGGGGGATTCATAAATTGTATGTGTTTGATCGTTTAGTGATCTTGTGCCATGTTTGGATTTTGTTTTTCCAGGTTGATGTACCATTAGAAGTTGTGCATTTGACTGATGAATACTGGAAGAATGTGGTATGCATCTTTGTCCTTCTTACCTTTTGAATGGTCTGAGTTGATGGAGCCATGTTGAAAGTTTTTTTGTGTGTATCCAAACTGAATGAGAGTGGACATGATTGTTTCAGGTGTCTTACATTATTAAGGAGTACCAATGTGGTCGTACTCCTAATCCAGATGTGCTATGCAATACACGAATTAAATTTGGTATATCTCTGTTCAGCTCTGTGGCAATCCTTTTTCATTCAGTGATTGATTCAATGTTTGAACTTTAGTCTCTTGGGCTCATTTTGGTGTTTCTTAATAAAATTCAGGTGCTTTCATGGATGCTGTGAATGGTATGGGATTTGATTATATTGCTTCTGGGCATTATGCCAGTGTCGTTCACCCATCTTCAGATGAAATGAATAAGCCTTCTGTTCTGGAGCTGTCAAAAGACATGGTAACTTGAAAAGATTCCCAATTCCAAAAACATTCCATCTTCTCTCTGCCTTGAGTTCTAGCTCCAGTGCTGGTTCTTTCGATCTTGGATTTGGTTTGGGGAACATTCGTTTACTCCTACTTACAATAAACTTCCATTCAACATTTTCAGGTGAAGGATCAAACTTATTTCCTTTCGCATTTGTCACAAGCTCAACTAAAGCGCCTGATTTTCCCACTAGGCTGCATTCCAAAGGTTAGCGAGGAACTCTTGTCTAGTGTCTTATTTTTCGTCCGCAAATTGTTTCTTAATTCAGATCATTTGTAGGAAGAGGTTCGCAAACTTGCTACAACATTTCATCTGCCTAACAAGGACAGGAAGGATTCACAAGGAATATGTTTCTTAGGAAAGGTAAGGTTTATTCAGAGAAAAATGGTTTCTGTTTCCTCATTTTTTATCTACACAAGTTATAGTTGCAGAGTGCAGAAATGTTAGATTTGGTTTAGCTGCATATGTACTTGTGCCTGGAAATGTGGACTCCTTATATAATGCCTGTTGCTTTGAACTTTAGACTTCGATTCTGCAGTTTTCCACAGCTATATTCATCTCCTACCCTTTTGGTGCGTCTGCAGATCAAATTTAGTGAGTTCGTTGCGAGACAGATCGGGGAGAGAGAAGGTATCATACTAGAAGCTGAGACCGGCGATTTCCTTGGTATGCATAGAGGATTTTGGTTCTACACAATTGGTCAACGACAGGGTCTTCGACTTCCTGGTGGTCCCTGGTACCTTCTCATCCCTTTTTATCTATAAGAGTGGTTTATTTGTTCACTTATGCCCGAATGCTTCTTCCATATGACAATTCATCTTGTCCAGGTATGTTGTTGAGAAGGATGTGAATAACAATGTAGTGTTTGTCTCAAGAAACTACTTCTCCATCGACAAGAACAGGAGATCATTTCGTGTTGGCTCACTGAAATGGCTTAGTGATAGACCTCCTCAGGAAACATGGCAGCTTCAGTGCAAGGTCCGGCATGGACCAGGGTTCTACAATTGCAATGTGACTATAGAGCAGAGTGAAGATGAGGAAGTTGCAGTTGTCCAGTTGTCGGAAGATGATCAAGGTCTAGCTGCTGGGCAGTTTGCAGCCTTCTACAATGGGAGAATATGTATAGGCTCCGGCGTGATATTGGAATCATGGGATGATCAAGGGTTCCCTGTATGTGAAAGGGCCATGGAAATAGCTAAACTAGAAGACAAATCAAAGCTGGGGAAACCAGTTAAGATAAAAGTGAAGCCAGAGAGTCCTTTGAAGGAGGAATCTGTTCCAAAAGACGGGGCAGAAATAGAACTTGTAGTTGGCAGCTAAGCAAATATCCAGCGCCAGAGTCTGATAAATTTCTGGTCAACATAACAGAAACAGGTCTATTGATGAATATGGAAACTTTCGATATTGTTGCCCAATGTCAAAATGGCTTCATGGGCTGAACCCGGCAACAAACTTGTGCATGTTCCAATGTCAAAACAACGCAATGGATCCATTTCTGTTACTAACATCCATCTACTTGCCAAAAGTACCTTTGAATATAGAGCTTTACCAGACAGTTAAATAGAGTTACTACATGAGCAAACGCAGCTAACGATAACCGGAGCAATTACAGTACTGTTCTTTCAAGTCTTTACACTGATTGAACTACACCTAAGCTTGTGAAATTGAGGAGGTTCTCATCCATAACGGTCGACCTAATATAGCTTTACCGTGAACAGAAAGGTAAGCTGAATTTAACCTGCAGGAAAAAAAGAATCCAAGAGAGAACAGTTAGTGGTGAAAAATAGAATCCTCGCACGTTTTCCAACTCCGGGAAATTATGTTATGTAACTGTAACTTACTTATCAACATCAGGAGCTGCCAAGGGATCATACACTTCTTCCCTCTGTTCCACCATAGGGACAGCACCGGTCATGTCCTGAGCACCTTCCACCTGAAACCAAACCCACATGGGATACACGATGTAAGATTCATGCAAGAACCGCCAAAACAAAATCCAGAGAGTTATCGCAATAAGCCCTTCATGAGATATTCATATATTTATAGGCTGCACCACTGAAGAGTTTACTGTAACATAGTGGAAGGCTTGAACTGGACTTAAAAAGTCAGGAAAGAAGCCATTGTATCAATTGATAATACAACATAATTGAAACAGACATTGAAGAATCTGGAAACCTTCGAAACCGGTCTCTTTGGGTCAGAAAATGTTATTCTTGGATGATATCTGAGTATTTGAGCTAAGTTAAGAAACCCTACCTGCTGAGGATACTGAGCATAACCAGCATATCCACTGTATGCATATAGTGATGGATCCTGGGTAGCTGCATAACCATATGCGTCATAGCCTTGTCCATAACCATAATAAGCACTCCACTGATCGGGTTGTTGGCCCCACGTAGCAGTAAGGTCCTAGCAAACGATAAAAAATGTCAGCAAAGACTCTCAGAGACTGAACAACCAACATAACAAAGTTAATGAGTTTAGTCTCTCTCTTTCCAGTTGAACTTCTTTTAATTAAAGGCAGCATGTATAACTTAAATGGTAAAAAAATGTCTGCAATGAAGACGCTTTTCATCATCTGAGCAAAAGTAGTACGGTAGTACCTGCTTCTTGCCCCAAGATATACGAACTGATTGCTGACCAATGATATGACCCTGCATCCTTTGTATGGCTTCCTCTGCAGACGGTCTATAGGATAAAAAAAGGTAGCATGTCAAAAGCTGTTTAACCAAAGAAGTGAAGTGACAATGTAAACCCTATCCACAAATGATGATCAACTGGCGAAAAGCAACGACTATGTTTCTACAAAAGTCACTAACCGAGCTGCAAATTGCACAAAGCCACATCCTCTGCCAACAGGAATTTTGACATACACTATCTCCCCAAGCTGCGAAAACGTTTGCTTCAGTTCATCTTCTGTGACAGCAGGATCCAAGTTACCAACAAATATCTGCATAATTATACCACAGTAGTGGTTAATTAACTCAATTACTTTCCCCAACAGGTGACTATGTTCAAGTGGTTCAGGACTGATTCAAAACCAAGAGATCAAGAACATAAACAAAGGAAAAGAAAAAAGTTATCTTACTGTGGTATTCGTGAGGTCAGTATCAGGTGCTGCTGCAACTGCCTGGACAGGTGCTGCATATGTGGGAGCTTGATACACAGCTGCACAAGATTAGCCACACTTAGTGCAAATCACTAGACTAGTCGATTCAGCTTATTCACTTGGGCTTGAAAACAATGCATATAAATGAGATGGAAAACATGAAACATGTAGAAGAAACACAAACTGCCCAAATGTTCCAATCATGTAGAAGCATTCATCATGAACTTATTATGGAAGCAAAGTAATTAATCAAAAAGCAATTTACCTTTGGTGGCAGCATACTGCTGTTGATAACCACTGGTCTTCTTAGGTGTTGCTGCACTGATACGCATTGGCCTAGTCGAGCAGTAAATACCGTTCATTTCTGACATAGCACGGTTCCTCTCATTCTCATCTCCAAATTTAACGAATCCATATCCCTTAGACCGCCCAGTATTTGGATCAGTCACAACCTTAGCTCCTCGAACAGACATATACTGAGTCCTAAAAGTCTCTTGCAAGAGATAATCTGTGACGTCGGGTGCTAAATCCCCGACGAAGATAGAATGCTCGGGACCTGCCTCGGGACGCCTCTCTCCAATCCCGAATGAAGCCCAGTTCAGCCTGAAAGTTAGTTCAGTCCCTGGCATTTGCGTTCCGTTATAGGATTGCAGAACCCTTTCAGCTGCCTGATGAGAAACGAACTCCACAAACCCGTAGCCCTCTGGCTGGCCAGTCAACTTGTTACGGATGATTTTGACCGAAATCACCTGTGCCATATTCGCAAGCAATTAGCTAAAAATTCATAAACCCGCAATTATACCGAAACTCTAATTCCATAGCCTCGCAACTCGCAGCATACACAAGCTCACAACTTTGCCTTTTCAATTCCTAGTAAAAGAACCGAGCTGAACTAATTGCAGAAGCACAGTAATACAACGCTCGTGTAAAAGAGAGATACCTCGCCGGTGTGAGCGAAGCAAGAATTGAGGTAGTTCTCATCGACCCAGTACTGCAAGTCGCCAATCCAGAGAGTTCTAACTTCTTCTAGGGTCGCAGGCTGATGGTACCCGCCGCCGCCTCCGTGCATCGCCATTGGTGCTGCCATTAAAGCCTCCTACTAAGGGCTGCTTCTTCTTCTTCTCCGACCTCCGTCGTCCTTCCTTCTTTGATTCTTTCGGTTGCCGTCGCTTCTCTCTGCTTTTTCCTCCCGGATTTCGTATGGGCTTATACGCCTATGAAGCCCACAAGTTCTAGCCCGTTACCCGTAAAACCCATTCACTAAATCTGTCGGCCCGGATCGTCCGGCCCAATTCTCAGGTGTTTATCATATATGGGAATATGGAGGCGTGAGCTGGCTGCGGCGCTATTATACGGGAGAAAAAACGAACTTACAACGGTTTTGCGCGCTTTCTTCTCGCTGGCATTGCAATTTGCAACCCACTAGCTAAACTCGCCGCCGTTGCTCTCAAATCAAATCATTCTTCCAATTCTTCTTCTCCCCCGTGATTCAATCGATTGGTCTGTGCGAAGTACGCTGGAGTAAGCAAGTAGCCAATTTTTTCCTCACTGGAAAAATGGGGTTTCCGGCCGCCCTTGCCATTGTCCTAATCGGAATCGTATTCTTCGCCTCCGGCCTCGTCGTCAATCTCGTGCAGGTAACCCGTCTGTTAAGCGATCTGTAGATCAAAGATTGAATCTTGAACTCCTTACTCGCTCGGTAATCAATGAGCAAGTCAATTAGAACTAGTGTTTTGCTGATTTCATCGCTGTTGCTAATTTGGATCTGGGTTGAAACTTGCTGCTAACTTAACTGTCGTGTTACATTATGATTCTTTCAGGCAGTTACATTTCTCTTTTTCCGTCCATTCTCCAAGGGATTGTATAGAAGGATTAACAAAGTGGTGGCGGAAATGTTGTGGTTGGAACTCATATGGCTGGTTGACTGGTGGGCTAATTTGAAGGTAAAGCAAAGTTCTTGCTTTTGCTCTACATGGATTGGTGGTGGATGAATATGAGAGATCTGGGTTTAATATAGAGATTCAAAAGTCTTAGCTGTTCCTTTTCACTTTATGTTTGATCAAGCTGCCTGTTGGGTGCTAACTAGAAACTCTTGGGCTCAGGTTGAAGTATATGCAGATGATGAGACCTTTAACTTGCTGGGTAAGCAGAAAATGCTTAATTTTGGACGGATATGAAATCTCAGTTGATTAGTCTTGAAATTTGCTAATCATACTTAATGTTTGGAAAAATTTCTGCAGGTAAAGAACATGCCATGCTCCTTTCTAATCACAGGAGTGATGTTGACTGGCTAATTGGATGGGTCCTTGCTGAGGTGCTTACCATAAAATTTACGGGTTTGTTGAATGATAATGATATGTTTCTAAATTATGTTTGTGAATGACCGACTTATCCACCGGTGATGGTCGTTCTTGTTTCTGATGGAATATTTTGATCTCAAAACAGCGCTCGGGTTGCCTTGGTAGTTCACTAGCCATCATGAAGAGAGAAAATAAATGGCTTCCTGTAAGTCCTCCATTCAATGCAAGCTCATTGTTACCTTATCTGGAATCATGTTTTGATAGTTATGGAATTGGCTACTAATGTTTGATTTGATGCATAGATAATAGGCTGGTCAATGTGGTTTTCGGATTATGTGTTTCTGACGAGAAGCTGGGACAAGGACGAAAGCACATTGAAGGTATCTCTGGCAGGGAACAATACAAGAATTCATTTCGTTGCACCTTATTCCGTTTTTTTTTATCCACACTGATATCTTATGGGATTCAGGACTCCAGTCGGGTTTTGAAAGGCTGGTGGATTTTCCCATGCCTTTTTGGCTAGCTGTTTTTGCAGAAGGAACTCGGTTTACTCAGGCAAAGCTAGAAGCAGCTCAGGAATTCGCTGCTGCAAAGGGCTTACCAAGTCCTAGAAATGTTCTGATTCCCCGCACCAAGGTAAAGTATCTTTTACAGAATCCTTTGCTTTCATTTAACTCTCAAATTTAGATGTCTCTCTCATATGATCGATTCATGTGGATTTTCTCCAGGGTTTTGTATCAGCTGTAACTCATTTGAGGGCATTTGTTCCAGCAATTTATGATTGTACAGTTGCTGTCCCAAAAGATCAGCCCTCACCCACTTTGCTAAGAATGTTTAGAAGACAGGCTTCCGTGGTAAATTCTAATGACATATTGATCGGTATTTGATATTCAACTTTTCCACTTGATGCCTAATCTGTTACGACTCTCTTTGACAGATAAATGTGAAAATTAAGCGACATCCAATGCACGAACTTCCTGAAACAGCAGATGGCATTTCTCAATGGTGCAAAGATCTCTTCATTGCCAAGGTATGACCGTTATTTGAAACCCAGAACAGTGGCTTCTGCTAATAGCATTATCAACGCTTGCTGTTATCCATCAAATGTAATGCTGAAAGTCTTTCTCCTGTGAGCCTTCCAGGACGCTGCTCTGGATAAGTTTCTTGTCAAGGACACCTTCAGCGAACGAAAGCATGACATCGGACGACCTAAGAAGTCACTATGTGTAAGAAAATGTCACCAACCGACGACGTTCTCTTAGCATTTCGTTTCTCTTGGTTCCTGATCTAGATTCCTCTGAATGTGCGCAGGTTGCTATTGTTTGGTCGACTCTTCTAGTCTGGGCCATTGCCAGTTTGTTCCAGTGGCTTTCGCACCTAGGCTCGTGGGTAGTCATTGCAATCTTGGTTACTTTACTCGTAATCATCATGATCGGAATGCACATTCTCATCCAGTCCTCGGAGTCGGAGCACTCTACACCCGCACGAAATGTGACAGTTGTCTGTGATGGAGTCCAGGATAGACTCATTCAGAAATGAACCAGCTGGGGGCAAGACAAAGACTTCTGCTTTTTAGTAAATGTTGTCCATTTTATTCTTGTTTCAGTCAAGTCAAATGGTTAATCTTGAACAGCTCAATGAAAATTCAGCTATGGGGTTGTGTAAAGTCTTGTTCTTTATCCATCAAAACCTTTCCAAGTCAGGTTTTGAAGTTACAACAAGAGGGTGGGCTCAGCGGATCTCTATCTTTACTTTCTGCCGTAATTTGGAATGGTTCTCGTCCATTGTCCCAGTTGCGTAATAAAAACAAAAAGGGGATAATATCATAATAATAATAATTTAATTTCCTAATATGAAAATACTGTGAGGAAGCCATGTGGTCACGAGATGGCTCAGTCGGTGTCAGGACTCGGGATCAGGAACGAAAGCTTTCTTTGAAGAATCAAATCTGTGCTTCCCTTCCTTCCCGACCTTTTCCTTTCTCGTACACTATTAATGCATCTCCCCAGTCCCCACTGTGGTCCGTAAAAAGTACAGCTCTTTGATTCAAAATCCTGCCTCTGGTTTCCGGGGTCGTCTCGGGTCCGTTTTTTTCCAACTATTTTCCATCATGGGTTCGCTGAAGAACGATGAGGAAATCGAGCCGATGGGTGATGGATCAGCGAAAGAGGCGATTCTCTATGTTAATGGAGTTCGAAAAGTTTTGCCTGATGGCTTGGCTCACTTGACCCTTCTCGAGTATCTCAGAGGTAAAACGATGTTCAACAAAGCTAAAAATAGATAGTCAACCAGCGAAGAACTCTGTTCGTTGATCCAAATGCTTCGTCTTTGAATACTACCCACTTGCTAATTTTTGACCTGGGATTAATTGGATTCGTTGTCTTTTGATTGTTGAGCTTTCTGGCAATCTCTGATTTAGAGTTGGTTGAACTCTTGAACTTAGTTTGGAGCTTTACCAAATGGTTACGATTCTTCTGCTTGATCGATCTGCTTAGAACTTTTGGATGGATTTTGTGTAGACAGTGGGCTCACTGGGACGAAGCTGGGATGTGGTGAAGGTGGCTGTGGAGCTTGCACTGTTATGGTTTCTCAGTATGATAAAAGCACAAAGACATGTGTGTGAGTCTCTCAGTGTCATTTCTTCCAGCTGCAGTGATTTCTGCTTGAGTTCTACGGTATAATCAGCCTTTCTTTGCTCATATTATGCTGGAAATCATCTGTTTCAGGCACCGGGCTGTCAATGCGTGCTTAGCTCCTTTGTATTCGGTTGAAGGAATGCATGTGATTACTGTAGAGGGAGTCGGGAATCGAAGAATTGGATTACACCCAATTCAGGTAACAGTAATGTATTTGATATTCATATATAGTAACTTGATGAAAGTATTTGAAGAGAGTTAAAGACTTTATTTTCTTATCTCAACATGCATTTCCATGAATTTTCTGCAGGAATCGTTGGCACGTTCTCATGGCTCCCAATGTGGGTTCTGCACTCCTGGATTTATTATGTCAATGTATGCACTATTAAGGTCGAGTCGAGAACCCCCTGCCGAGGAGCAAATCGAAGAATGCCTTGCTGGAAATTTGTGTCGTTGTACTGGTTATAGACCAATCGTTGATGCATTTCGGGTTTTTGCTAAGACGGATGATGCATTGTACACTAACACTAATCCTAAAGAAGGTGAAGAGTTTGTGTGCCCTTCGACTGGTAAACCTTGTTCATGCAGATCGAAGGTTCCGGTGGATGACAAATGTACTTCCGTTCATAATACAGCTTGTGGTGGTGAGAGGTATAATACTTCATCATATAGTGAAGTAGATGGGAGCAAGTACACAGAGAAAGAGCTAATTTTTCCTCCCGAGCTATTATTGAGGAAGCTGACTCCTTTGAGTTTGACTGGCTTCAACGGGCTTAAATGGTACCGGCCTGTAAGACTTCAGCACGTGCTGGACCTAAAAGCAAAGTATCCTGATGCGAAGTTGGTGATTGGTAATAGTGAAGTTGGGATAGAGATGAGGCTGAAGAGACTCCAGTATCAGACTTTGATCCATGTGGCTAATGTACCTGAACTTAATATCTTGAATGTTAAGGAAGAAGGCATAGAGATAGGAGCTTCTGTAAAATTGACTGATCTCCTGCAAGTGCTTAGAAAGGTTATAGATGAGCGTGCGGCTCATGAAACATCATCGTGTAAGGCCATTGTCGAACAACTGAAGTGGTTTGCTGGAACACAGATTAAAAATGTTGCCTCTGTTGGAGGCAATATTTGCACAGCTAGTCCAATATCTGATTTAAATCCTCTGTGGATGGCTGCTAAAGCAGAGTTTCGAATTGTGGACTCTAAGGGAGGCATTAGAGCAACACAGGCAGATAAGTTCTTCTTAGGTTACAGAAAGGTGGATCTTCAGAGTGGTGAGATTCTTCACTCGGTGTTCTTACCATGGACTGGACGGTTTGAGTATGTGAAAGAATTTAAGCAGGCTCATCGAAGGGAGGATGATATTGCAATTGTTAATGCTGGAATGCGTGTTTCTCTTGAAGAAAAGGGAAAGCAATGGGTTGTTTCAGATGCATCAATTGCTTATGGTGGGGTGGCTCCTCTATCTTTGTCTGCTGTGAAAACTGGAAAATTTCTTATTGGGAAGAGCTGGAATCAGGAGCTCTTCTTGGCTGCTCTCCAGGTTTTAGAAACAGATGTTCTGCTTAATGAAAACGCTCCTGGTGGTATGGTGGAGTTTAGGAAATCTTTGACTTGCAGTTTCTTCTTCAAATTTTTCATGTGGGTTTCACATCAAATGGGAGGAGATAACTCTGCCAGTCTAAGTGTGCCATTGTCTCATCTGTCTGCTGTACAACCCTTCAGCCGTCCTTCAGTCATGGGAAGTCAAGATTATGAAATTCAGAAACTAGGGACTTCTGTGGGGTCGCCTGAGGTGCATCTATCAGCAAAACTCCAGGTATTTAATCTTAGGAGCAACTTATGAATTCAAATAAACTTAAGCATCTTGAAGAAGAAAGACAAGTCAATCATGCTTTTATGTAGAGGTTATAATGTTTAAAACTGGTTTCCTCCTCAAACTTGCCAAAGCTCAAATGTCCGAGCTCCATTAGTTTTCAGTATCTATAGAATTAGAATATCCAATTTCATGAAGTAAATTGGACCTTTCTATCTATCCTCTAAGGTGGATCCTGTAATTTTAGTGCTTCCCCAAATTAGTTAGTTTCAGGTTGCTGTATGTTTCTTTTTCCCTTTCGGCATCTTTGGTGGACCTTTTTATACATCTGCTTGCTCGAAATTAGTTAGTCTCAGGTTGCTGTATGTTTCTTTTTCCCTTTCGGCATCTTTGGTTTGGGAATAAAAGGGCTGAATAACCAAATAATCGATATAGCTCTGTTTTTTTGTTGTTTTCCATTACATCAATGGAATAGGATGAAAACATTGTGTTATAAATGTGGTTTTGGTAAGGTTATTCTTTGATGTTGTGAATGGACAGCTATACCAACCTGTATTACTCTGTAAACCTATTCTCTTTGCAATGTTTGAGTACTTTGCTTATAACCTGACTTGCTCTGCTGTATTCAATCAGGGCTTACTATTCAATAATCACACTTATAATTCATTCGACTTCATAACTACAATGTGTTCCTGGTTTTTTTAAATTAATTCATCTCTAGGTCACAGGGGAGGCAGAATACGCAGATGATGCTCCCATGCCATCAAATGGTTTGCATGCTGCGCTTGTATTGAGCCAAAAGCCTCATGCTCGAATAGTTGCCATAGATGATTCGGAAGCCAAGTCTTCACCTGGATTTTCAGGCATTTTCTTAGCCAAAGATGTACCAGGTGATAATCGCATTGGCGCTATTGCAGAGGATGAGGAAACATTTGCTACAGAGTTTGTTACTTGTGTTGGTCAGGTGAGGCGCTTTCGAAATAATGTTCATTGGTGCTTTTACCTTCATAAGTTGTGGTATGCCTTATGGAGTTCTTGGGTACTAAAGCTGTATGATGCCTTCACTTTCTGATTCTGATTGTTCCCATAATCCCATTCACGTGGTTGGCCAGGTTATAGGGGTTGTTGTCGCTGATACACATGAAAATGCCAAGTTAGCTGCAAGGAAAGTTCATGTCGAGTATGAAGAGCTCCCAGCAGTTCTGACTATACGAGAAGCCATCATTGCTGGAAGTTACCATCCTAACACTGAGAAGTGTTTGAAAAGTGGCGATGTGGATGCCTGTTTCGGATCTGGCGAATGTTACAAAATCATTGAGGGAGAGGTGCAAGTAGGGGGCCAGGAACACTTCTACTTGGAGCCACAAAGCAGTTTCATATGGACTATGGATGGTGGCAATGAAGTTCACATGATTTCATCGACACAAGTAAGTTGAATGATTAATGTGTTACTTAAAATGAAAATCCTGATGTTGTAAAAGTCCACAAGCCAGCTTTTGAAAAGCTCGGGAAGTCCCAATGTTTGGCACAGCTTGTGCTTTTGGAGTAGAAAAAGCTCCTGGAGAAGTTGGATCAAACAAAAATGCCATTAATTTCCTGATTGTTGCTTTCCTGGTGGCTTTGCTCGTGTGATTTGTCCTCTATTTACAGGCTCCTCATAAGCACCAGAAGTACGTGGCCCATGTTCTTGGTCTTCCGCTGTCAAAAGTAGTTTGTAAAACAAAACGACTCGGTGGTGGATTTGGTGGAAAGGAAACAAGATCAGCTTTCATTGCTGCTGCAGCTTGTGTGCCATCTTATCTATTGAATAGGCCAGTCAAAATCACCTTAGACCGAGACGTAGACATGATGACAACTGGGCAACGTCACAGCTTTCTTGGGAAATACAAGGTAGCCCTTCTTAATGTTGCTGTAGAACAAGGATTTTGCATTGTTGTACAGCATGATTCCAGGAACTGATGGTTTGCAAGTAATTTGATTAGGTTGGCTTCACAAAGGAGGGAAAACTTCTTGCACTGGATCTTGAGATCTATAACAATGCTGGAAACTCCCTAGACCTGTCGCTTTCGATACTTGAACGGGCGATGTTCCACTCTGACAATGTTTATGCAATCCCGAATGTCCGCATAATAGGAAGGGTTTGCTTTACCAATCTTCCTAGTAATACTGCTTTCCGAGGATTTGGGGGTCCTCAAGGCATGATCATAGCTGAGAATTGGATTCAAAGAGTTGCTGTTGAAGTTGACAAAACCCCAGAAGAGATAAAGGTAATGTCACGATCTTGCAACTCTCGTTCCACTAATGGTTGTAAATCTTTTTCC